TCCTTCTGCCTCAGCAACCTGGAGAGCTGGGATTGCATGTATGTTGCTAGTGCTTGGCAAGAGAAGTCTTTGAAAGATGGGAGACTATTTTGAAAGCAAATGAGAATAATCCACTACAATTAGAGCAGTGGTAGACAAAGGGAGGAGGAAATAACAAGGAGCCAGGTCTCTGAGAGGTCAGAGGGAATTCGATCTGTATGGAAGAGCTGGCTGCAATAAGAGAAAGAACACCTCACCAGATGAAATAGGAGAGAAGCAGATGAAGGCAGGTACAGGTAAGTTTGTTGATCTAGTGATAAGATGATGAGGGAAATTACCCAGCTGATCGGGTATACTTTCTCAATTAAATTTGGCAAGAGGCTGTCATTTGAATTGGACAGGGTGCGGGTACGAAGTGTGTGGATGGAGATTCTGTGAACTGAGATCTCAAAGGATAGGAAGTAAGATTATATGGGAAGCAGAGCATGACTGCAGGCAGTGTTGACAGCTCGTTTTACTTGTCATCTGGCAGCACGGTTGTTCTTAACATCCTGTGTTGTAAATTAATCCAAATTGATCTCTGTGAGAGATTGGTCTGAATTAACCAGATAATGGTTTCAGTTTTCCACTTCACTCATATCTTCACCTGGATCTCCTAAAGCAGAACTTGAAGCAGGGAGCTATGTGTTTTTATTTCATGAGGGAGTACAAGCCCAGGGAGGACAATTTAAGGACACACATGGTGAAGTGAGGAAGGAGGGAGGGCCAGAGTGACCACAGTGTACATTAGTTGCTGCAAAGTGTGACTAGTTGCTGGAGTCGAAAGAAATTGTTCCTGCCTGGCCCAGCGCTCACATCTGTAAGTTTGAGAGGACAGCCTGGACAACATAGTGAGACTCTGTCTCAAAAATAAAAAGGGCTGGAGGTGTAGCTCTGGGCAAAGCCTTGGGTTCAATTCCCCAGGACTGGAAAAAAAAACAACTTCCTAATAATCAGAACCACTGTATCTCAGGACTGCTCACTTAGGGAGGAGGAGGTTGGATGAGGGGAAGCTTTTGTCCATTGGTGGTGATTCACAAGGCCACATGTTCCCCCTTCCATTCCCGTGCCTGTAGGTTGCACGCATCTTGGTGTCAGTCCCTCATAGTGTCCAGAAGGGGCTGTAGCATAACAGGAGCTCTGGGCTGGAAGGATGTAGGTGAAAGGTAGCACAAGAAGATAAGAGGATCTTCAGTGAAGCCTCGTGAACTTTGTCAGAGCCCATGTAGAGCCGGATGCCCCGGCAGCAGTGGCATAAGGAATAGGTACTGCTGTCATTTGGATCAGGAAGAATCCTCAGAGGGCCTTTGTGTTCAAGACTTGGGTGCTATTGGAAGGTGGTAGAGACTTTGAAGAGGTGGCACCTCTAGGGCAGTGGTAGTGAACCGAAGGCACACGTGCGGCAGTGGGCTGCTTGTATCACTGAAAGCTATAAAAGATATTCTCTGACTGCTCTGGGTTTTAGGTCACTGGGGCTGTGTCCTCAAAGGGGATTGCGAGATGCTAATCTCTTGTTTTCTCTTCCCGCTTCACTGCCTCATGTGACAAATGTGTACCCACTGCCCTGTGCTCCTGCCTCGACAGCAATGAGCCCGATCAGTGATGGGTTGAAACTTCCAAAATTGTGAGTCAAAATAAGCCCTTCATCTTTATAAGTTGACTTAGCCCCAGTATTTATTACAGTAACTAATTAACTAACTAACTAACTAAACACTAATACACCCAAAGAACTTAGATTAGGTATCATCTCCTAGGACAGTGCTATTATGTCTTCATTATTTTTAAAGATAAAAGACCAAAAACATATTAACAGACACACAGACATTTACAAAATAACACAAAAACAATACAAGCAATACAGAATTTCAGACAAGGTGGTAGGAAATTAACAATGGTTGTTGTATTACATATTGAGATCTTCAAATTGGTTACACAGATAAACAAATGTAGGCATGTAAAGTTGATCAAACAAACATTAACTGTTCCTTTCAATAAAGTAATAGAAGTCAGTAGTACAACTATCTTAGCTATCCTGTGTATGTCTTCATATTTAAGATTATTCATTCAACAAACAGAGAACTTGTTATATGCCAAGGCCTTGTTAGGCCCTGAGGACACAACAAAAAAGAAAAGAAATAGATTCTTGCCTTCATGGAGATTATGGTCTTACATGTGTATGGTGGAAATGGTAAGAAAGACAAGTAAACAACAAAGAAGTAAAAAACAGCAGTCTGCAAATAAGTGTTATTAAACACATACTAAATATTAGACAGTAAAGTAGGGAAGAGAGATGGGGACTATTACGGCACTAATGAAAAAATGATGTTTATTGCTCAGTATCAAAATGAGGTGAGGCCAGGCATGGTGGCACAGGCCTGTAGTCACTCAGGAGGCTGAGCCAGAAGGATTCTTGTGAGTTTGAGGCCAGCCTGGGCTACATAAGCAAGTTCAAGAGAATCCTGCACTACATAGTGAGACCTTGTCTCAAAAATAAACAAGCAAATAAATAAACATGAGGTGAAAGAAGTAGAATTGAAGTTGCACGTAAGTACATGACCATTTTTATGTAACAAATATATTTAATAGAATATGTATAGAAAAGGGAATAAGAAACATGTCTAAATATTAAGCTGATTCACTTTCTTTTCGAGACAGGGTCTCACTGTGTACTAAACTGGCCTCAAACTCACTATGCAGCCAGGCTGGGCTCGAATTCACCATTCTCCTGCCTCAGCCTCCCAGAGTGCTGGGATTACAGGTGTTTACCACCAAGCCCAGCCACTAATTAACTTTTCTAAATTATGAAATTAGAAGTGATTTTATTTTGAACAGAATTTTAAAAACATTAAAAACTATACAGAATTTCAAAACAAGATGATAGGAAATCAACAATGGTTGTTATATTGCATATTGTTCTTTTTAAAGAAGGAAGGAAAAATGTATGTGTATCTATATCTATCTATCTTTCTATACACAAGATAGCTAAGATAATTGTACTACTAATTTCTATTGGTTTATTGAAAAGTAATTTTTAAAGCTGTTTCTTTATGCTTTGTTATTTTACAGGTTTTTCTGTAATTAGCATGTATTACTTTTGTAAATCAGAGACAGTAGTTTTGTTACTTTTCTAAGTCTTGGAAGAGACACTGGGGGTTTGACTCAAGATAAAAGCTGCTGTGCTTTAGATCTAGAATGTTCCCCAAGCAGCTCATGTGTTAGAGAATGAGCTTGTGGAAGGAGGCTGGATCATGGGGCCACTATACACGTGTGTGGATTCATCCACTAATGAGTCCAGCAGCTGAGTGTGCTGCTAGGAAGCGGAACCTGGCCAGAAGAGGCCACCAGAGGTGTGAGCCAGGTACGTCACCTCCCTGCCATTCCTTTCCCTCTCTGCTGACCAGGACCATGTCAGGAGCGGCTTCCTCCACAAACCCCTTCGCCATCCCTTCCTGCCTTGGAGTCAGCCAGCTGTGGACAGCCTCCTTTGTAGGCTGGGAGCCAAAATAAACCTGGTTTCCTTTAAGCTGTAGGTGTGGGGTGTTTGTACCACAATGAGAATACAACTAATGCAATAGAGATAAGCAAGGCACAGGACTTTGGGGGTGTTCTCAATGCACATGGCAGTTATGATTACACTATGCTGTGACCTGTTATGTGTGCAGTAACATTACATCTAAAAAACAATGTCCATTCCTTAATTTAAAAATACTTCTTTGCCAAGTGTGGTGGCACAAGCCTATAATTCCAGCTACTTGGGAGACTGAGGTGAGAGGATTGAAAGTACAAGGTCAGTCTGGACAATTTAGGGAGACCCTGTCTCAGAAGAAAAATTTAAAAGGAATTGCTATGTAGCTCAATGGCAGAGTACTTGCCTAATAGCTTTCTCTATCATTCCATTCCTTTATATATTTTTGAAGTTCTGGACTAAATTCCCCTAATTTCTCATCCACTTATTGTTTAAAGCTCTCAGAAAACAATTATCAATTCTTTTTGTATTTAGTAGCTTCCCCTTGAGAGGCAGGTTAGTAAAGTGGTCAAAAACTCAGGCTGCAGAGATGGCAGCCTAGGTTACCATCACTGCTTCTCAGTTTTGTTGTGATTTTGACAGTTTCCTAATCTTCCTATTTCTACATCCAAGAGGATGGGTATGATTATCAGCTCTGTGTTCCTGTAACAAGATACCTGATAAACTCAAAGGATGAAAGATTTGTTTAGGTTCATGGTTTCAGAGGTTTAGTCTATGGTCACTTGATTTCATTGCCTCTAGGCCTGTGTGAAGCCAAAACAATGGTGAGAAAATAAAGCTGCTCATCTCAGGGCAGCCAGGGAGCAGAGAGAAAGGGAAACAGCCAGAAGAGGAAGGGACCAGTGGCCAGACACAGTGCCCAAGATCACACCCCATGTCCCACTCCCCTCAATGAGGCCCCACCTCCTGTTTCCATCATCTGCCAATAATGCCATCAAATTAAGACCTCATCGCTGGATTAATCTACTTGATGTAGTTGGAACCCTCACGATCTAATCACTTTCAAAAGCCCTATCTCTAAACACATGAGACTTGGGAAAGACATTCTATGTCTGAACAACTAACAATGGGTATACTTCCCATCTCACAAATTATTGAAAAGACAAGTTCATGCATTTATAGTGATCAAAATAATGAGTGGCATAGATCAGAGGCCAGTCATTATAAGTCTAAATTTAGTTTTCCAAAAGACAGGAATGATATTTTCTATTTCTCTGTAATCTCAGTACAACTAAGCACAGTGCTAGAAAATGTAACCTGCTCCTTTTGTAACCATAAGCCCTAACATGTGTGGGAAGTCTGTTTGACTCTCTTCATTGTACTTTGTGTTGGAAATAAACATGAATAAATGGATGAGTGAATTTGAGAAGGGTCTGGGTTTGTCTTTGGAGCTCCTCTTGGGTTTATTTATTTATCACTGTATTCCCAGAACTTAGCACAGTGCCTACTTCACAAGAAGAGCTCAATAAATATTTATTGTTAAGAGAATGAAGAAACACAGGAAGAAGAGACCAAAGGAACAAATCACAGAATGAATGGGCAAAATGACCTCTCAAGAGGGCATCTTTAGCCTTAATATTCAGTCTCATATATTCAGTCCAGGATGGATTCATGATAAATGCTTCTATTCAGTGCCTAGAGAGAGCAGAGGAAGTAATTCATTACCTATTTTCTGTAAGTGCAAATTCAAACCAACTGGTTCACAATCACCTGTGGTTTTATTTTTATAAAAGAAAGAAACAATAAGTTTCCAGCTGTGTAACCATGAGCTTCATTTGTTTGGCTATGGGACAGCAAAGGAATTCAAATAAATCTGTGTAGTGTATCCCAAACACATTTTTTCTTTTTGACTCAGGGAACTTTAGGAAAATATTTTTGTTTATATTTTAGAAGACTGTTACCTTCCCCCCACATTGAGACTCAAGCTGGTAAAGGGCCACAAGCACTCCTACAGGGACTATTACAGATGCTTCCTTGGATTGAAATTAGTCCCCAACTTCCTCTTAATATAAGCATTGGAGAAGTCCCATAAGTTTCATACAAAATGGATTTGTTTATTATAGTATGTCAACATGATAAAAACATATTAACATCCCTGCAGGGTACAGTGAAAAACTTTTGCAAAAATCAGCTGTAAAAATAATTTCCATTTAGGTGGCAAATAGCAGGTAGTTGAGGACTGAGCCAATGTGTGTCTTTGTGAAGGGAAGTTTATGCCCCACTGGTGCTTATAAAGCATTTCTCAATTTGTAAAGATATGCTTTCTTATATGATTCCAGCATATATAAAAATGCATTGGGAATTATATAACATCCCTTGGTTTCATGGAGTTTCATTCTCTCCACTCGCTTACACAAAGCTTCAGCATTGTAATTAATTCTGGAACAGAGTTTGCTTTGAGACGATCATATATCAACAGCACTGCAAATACCATGTGGGAGAACTGCAGATGAGCCTTAGTCTTGGATGCTTCTAAAATTTTAGGTACATAGGGGCTGGGGATTTAGCTCAGTGGCATAGCGCCTGCCTGGCAAGTGTGAGGTCGTGAGTTTGATTCCTGGTACTGGAAAAAAACAAAAACAAATAAAATTTTAGGTACAAACCATGTGTAGTGGTGCACACCTGTAATCCCAGCACTTGGGAGGTTGACGTAGGAAGATCGCTGTGAGTATGAGGCCAGCCTGGGTTACAGAGTGAGACCCTATCTCAAAAAACCAAATAAACAAGCAAACAAACAAATAAATAAAATGTTGGGCACAGTATTGAAACAGAAATCCTTCTCAGAGTTTGAACCAGAACCTTGTTACCAATGAGGAAATTATTATTGTTGGATACTGTTCTTCTTCTTGCTACCATATGCATCTGTAAGGTGGATCTGTACAACATTACAGTCTTACAACATGGCTTCTTTCCCTTATTTTGTTTCCTGTGGTCACTGGTATATAGGGAAATCTGTCTATAGCATTCAATAAGCCTTAAATTTTATTTTATTTTATTAGGGTAAAACCATTTTTTTTTTCATGATATTTTCTGCATTGAATAAGAGTAATGGCAAAAGATGTTATGGAAAAAATGACTCACTGCATGTTTAAGCTTTATACTATGAGAGGAATCATGTCAGATACACAGCTGCTCATATGACAAGATGCACAGACCTAGAGACATACTTGTAGGCTGTTGCCAGATGCCTAAATGTTCCCCTTACACATACACTTTGGTGCTACATGGAGAAAGGGCAACCATGTTAGGGACAGTATACATAGAGCATATTCTACAATCTACACATAATGTTAGATTCTTTTTGAAAAAGAATCTACACATAATGTTAGACATTTGAAAACTAATTCAAATATCCTGGCTTTTGTTTATAATATTATGGCTTTTCATATAAGTGTACTTAAAAGTGTTTTTGTTGTTAGTTGATTTTTGTGCAGTAACAAACAACCTCAGCATTTTAGTGGCTTCTATTAGAGATGAATATGCCAACTACCCTGCCCCATGCTTACAATGCATGCATATGCTGTACTGAAAGGCCACCCTGTACACTATCAAAATGAACATTATTATGTGTCCATTTAAAATAAAGACATTTAAGCACTCTTACATTTTTTAAAAGATTTCTTTCCTGCTCAGTCCTGTGAATCCAGCGCAGCCCGCTGAGCTCCGGGTGCTTTTTCAGTAGAGAATTATTTGAGGAAAGCTCTTCATTGGGCAGCAGTCAGAAGCTCAAAAGCCAAAGCGAATCACATAAGCATATTCAGAACCTTTGAAAGGGTTTGGGATATGTTACTTCTATTCACCTTCATCAACCAAAGACAGTCACGTGCTCAAGCCATTGTCAAGGAGGTGAAGAATTCCTAGGGGTGGAGAAGGGAATAAGAGAGTAAACATTAGCTGAATAATACTCATATACAATCTATAATGACTACAGATTAAAAAACTAATACATATCCCTGATTTACAAAAATAATTAATACTAAAATATTAGCAGAAATTTAAATACAATTTTAATTTTTCTTGACAACGACATACAAAGAGTGTGGCTGTTTGGCAACCAGAGTGGAAGTTTAGAAAAAGATATCTAACACATAAATTACATCTAAGATAGTATAGAATGGGAGCATATTCACTTCTCTCGGAGACTTCATACCTCGCAATAGCCTCTATCGTTTCGTATGTTTTTGATTATTTATGTCTGAAAATAGAGCATTATCTTTTATCATTGTATACCTGAGGCCTAGTAAAATTCTTGGCCCAGAGGGAGCACTCAATGAATGCATAAGTAATCCAGAATATGTTGTTATTTTTTTCTTTTCAGTGCTATAATTGTTTATATTCTATAACACAGAAGAAATAACTTATTTACTTTTGTCCTCGGTGTTTCTTTCTTTTCTGTTTGTTTATTTTTGAGACAGGGTCTTGCCCTAATTCAGGCTGGCCTTGAATTCACTATGTAGCCCATGCTGACCTTGAACTCACAACGATCCTTCTGCCTCAGCCTCCCAAATGCTGGGATCACAGGCATGTGCCACCATGCCTGGTATATTCTTCATTTTCTGAGAGTTTTCACTTTTGCTTCCCTTGGTGAAATTATTTTATTTTAAATAAAGTTGAACATTCTTATTTGATATATAGTATTTCCTGCAGATAAGCTTTGCATTCACATGCATGTGCAAGACAGAGAGAGAGAAAGGGAAAGAGAGGTGCAAAAAACATGAGAAGAAAAATAAAAAGAAGGAAAGACAGAGCTATACAATTAGGAAGCATAATTGAGGTATTCACTACTCTACTGGTGAAAATCAGTTCTGGAATAAGTTTCTTCCTGCATTTCTTTTGTGATTTACTTACTGGGAAAAGCTTCAGAGATGACATTCTGTATTTATGAGCCTGTTGGGAGAATAGTTACTTGACTAGCACTGTAAAAACATTTCAGATAGGTTTGTATAATGTGATTCCTTCATAAGCAATAGCAAAGAACAATTGAAAGGAATGAGAAAGCTAAGGACAACCCAGAAGGAAAGAGTGAGAGAGAGAGAGAGAGAGAGAGAGAGAGAGAGAGAGAGAGAGAGAGGGAGAGGGAGAGGGAGAGGGTGGGAGGGAGGAAAGAAAGAAAGAAAGACAGAAAGAAGGAAAGAAAGAAAGAGAGAAAGAAGTGTCAACTGGTTTCTATTACCATTAAACATATTTAATAAATATTTCAATGTCTATAAAATTATTGCTGAAATCACTTGACCCCCTTGTGTATTCTTCATGATTCAAGCTTCACACTAAATAAGTATTTTACAATGAAGTTTATTTAAAACTGCATCTTAGCAAGTCATCCAAAAATAATATAGAGATACCATCTTTACAAGTCCCCTTGCTCCCTCAAACCACAGCCTTCTGATTCTGCACATGGTTCTAGATTGACTACATAGAAAATATTATCTTAATGTAGTTACACAAAAAAAAACAGAACTTGCTTCTTTTTTCACATGTGTATATCATATTACTACAAGGGATGTAAATTGTTCACAATAAAACTTCTGAGGACTCAAATGGATATGATTTCTTAGTTAAGTATTTGTTCCAGTGACCTTAGCTCTTTTTTTAGGATAAAATGTGCTAACAATGTAGAAACTAAGTGAATTATCCAAAAACTACACAGCAGAGCCACTTGTCTTATAAAATACTAGATTTGCGATGAATATTTGGAAGATTTTAAGATGTTAGACATCATGGCAGAAACAGTAAATTGATTACAAACAGTTAACAGTTGAAACCTCAAAATGTTTTCTTTAAAGCTGAAATTTATTTATAATACAATAAGATCAAGTTATTTTTATGTGAAAAGTTACTGTATTTATAGGATTTCATCTGATACAAACTCAGGTAAGACTCACAACAAAAAGCTATAAAACTGAGTGCCCAGTATCAGTGTGAGAACACACGATTTTTGTACGGATTTACTTTTAACTTATATTTGATAAATGTTCCAAACAGATGGAAAAAGTAAGAGACTTTTCATAAAACCTTTGGCCTATTTCCATGAAAATGCTCCGTTTACTAAACAGGAAATAAGGTGTAGAGTGTGCTTTTAACCAAACTAAGAATTCATTTCTCCAACTCATAAAAACTATTCCTTCCCTCCTAAATAGGTCCTCATCTGATTCCTCTCAGTAGACTTTATTCTTTAATGCAAGCCCAAGAAGAAATGTTCATGTTAGCCTCTTTCGTTAAAGTCAAGCAACAAGCAATCTCTTTTCAGTGTTGTGGACTGCCAGGCAGTGACCAGTTTGGCGCTTACACTGGTATGAAAAGACACTTGCGAGGTGGTGTGTCTCAGGCTCATCTGACACTGTGACTGTGTTTCTAGGGAAAAGACTGAAGTTTGCGAGGATGAGGCTAAATTTTGTAGAATGAATTTTACATGAGTGGTGCTGGGCAAGAGGTTGTTGAATTCTTCAGACCTTGGGCAGAACAGGAAAGGAAGATGGGTAAGCACAGTATCACAAACTGCAGACTAGTTTTAACCGGGAAGATAACAGGCAAAGCAAGGGGCAAGTTGTAAATGGTACTGACAGGTGTCTGTGGAACCGTGAGAGAGAGTTTCCAGCAGTAATTCAGAGTGGAAGCTGAGTCTCAATCTAAGAACATAGTCCAGTGCTGGGATTTAGGAAAAGACCCATAGCTGGGAGTGCTGGTGCACACCTGTAATCTGACACTTGGAGAGGCTGAGACAGAAGGGTTACAAGTTCAAGTCCAACAGGGCAACTTAGCAACTCAGTGAGATCCTGCCTCAAAATTTAAAAATTTAAAAAGAAGACCCTTTATTAAAGACAGAGCATGAATTCTATCTAAAACAAAACAAAACAAAAAACGAAACAAACCTTGCTTGTCTTCCAGGTTGTTTTCATTGAGCAATTACCATATGATTCAGCTTTTGCCCAAGGGCATTATGAGGTTACCATTAGATTTTATAATGGGAGAATAAAGGAAAGAGCAGAAATGGTCTATAATCACACACTGTTTTGTAAGTCTGTATTTCCAAGGGAATTCCTGACATATTCAGTGAAAATAAGTAGCAAAAATCAAGTAACTTCTTTCCTATATAAATAAGCTGGAGAAAGAAATATAATGAGATGTCCTAATCTACAAGCAAAAAATAAGTAATTTGTGTTTAAATTAATCCACAGTGCAAGTCTTCTGAGAAGGTAAAAGCCTTGAGGGCATCACTCATGGGATAATTCTTTTGTATCTAGCACTTTAGATACAAATGAAAAAATCTTGAGCCCTGAATTATACCCTGAAAAATTAGCATTTAACTTGCTAAAAATTATTCCCCTAATATTCAGTTTTATGGTAACCAAATTTTATTAAAAGGTAGCTAGGCATAGTGGCATGCAACTGTAATTCCTGCTCTCTGGGAGGCTGAGGAGACGGGCAATTTCCAGTCTAGCCTGAGAAACTTAGTGCTTTAGCAAGACTCTGTTGAAAACAGAAATAAAAGTAAAAGAGCTGAGGATGTTGCTCAATGTGAAGACTCTAGTACTATAAAAACAAACAAACAAAGTAGATTTAAATCTTATAAAAGTGAATTAGAAGTCAGGTGTGGTGGTGCACACCTGTAATCCCAGCACTCAGGAGGCTGAGGCAGGAGGATAGCTGTGAGTGCCGGGCCAGCCTGGGCTACATATGTGAGTTGAAGGCCAGCCTGCACTACATAATGAAACCTTGTTTCAAAAAAAAAAAAAAAAGTGAATTAGAGAGCTGGGCATTGTGGCACACACACATAATCCCAGCACTCAAGAGGCTGAGGCAGGCAGATTGCCATAAACTCAGGATCAGCCTGGGCTACAATAGCAAAACCCTGTCTCACCAGAAAAAAAAGCAATGAGTTAGAATCATTATAAAACAAACACACAAACAGAAACAGAAAAAAATCCCTCCAAATATATTTTTCCCATTTAAGAAAGATTTATAACTAGGGGCAAATTTTTTGTATTCTTTGCGAGGAAATTTTACAGCCCCATTTTTAAGACTGTAGTGACAGATAACTTTAACCTCCATTTTTTTCTGAAAAACTTCATCATGTGATGTTTTCTGTTATATAGCATTTTCCTAATCTATGAGGTATGATCAAAATAATGTTGACTATTAAAATAAAAAATTTATTACATTAAAAGATACATAAATATCTTTATGACATATGATCAAAAATACAGTAAATGCTGCTACCAAGTGCCAGCCAACAGAAAAGCAGGCTCAAAAACATAAGGGTCTTCATCCACTTTATCCACCAGGTCTTGTACCCTTTGACTTCTGGCTCTTCACCAAAATCAAGAGGACAATGACAAGTTTTAAATCGATTCAAAATGTGGAGGCAGCCATAAAAGTGTAACTAAAAACATTCACTTTTTTTTTTTCTTGAGACAGGGTCTCACTATGTAGTGCAGGCTGGCCTTCAATTCACTGTAGCCCAGGCTGGCCTGGAACTTGCAGTGCTCCTCCTCCCTCAGCCTCCCAAGTGCTGGGGTCACAGGCATATGCCACCATGCCTGGCTCAATACATTCACAAAAGAAGACTTCCAGAACACTTCAGAAAGTGGCAAAAATGATGGGATAAGTGTGTCTGAAGCAGGGTGTGGGGTTGGGGGGTAATTTGAGGAAGATTAATGTCAACATGTATTTTACTGTAATACCTTTTTAATTTAAACATTCACCATGTTTGTCAATCACACCGCATGTCTGTAGCCAAGTGTGCCTGAAATACAATTTACTGAGTAATCTATACGAGTTATCAAGCGGATCAAATACTGAATAAGGACTATGGAGCAGGATTCTAGTGGGAATGAGACCCATGCTTGGCTTTCAGAGCTCGGTAAGGGTACCAAAGTGTCAAATTACAGGAAGAGCTCCTCCCAGCATGCCTTTCCATCTGTCCCCTTTGTAATTAGAGAATCTTTCAGGGTACTAGGGTGGTGGCACAAAAACAAACAGCGACAACAGTAACAAAACAGAGTGGGGGCAAACCAAAGCCACCCCCAACCTTTGGAAAGTGGAAGTGATGCCCGGAGAAGGTCAGACTCACCGAAGTAGGAAAAGAAGAAGGCTGAGTGCACCACCTGGGCTCCTCTGCCACCCACGCTTTGCGCAGGCTGCAGTGGCTGCCAGCCTGTGGGTCCCATCCCTCGCTGCCACTCAGTCCATCGCCTGAGAAACTGGTTTCGCCTCCACATTGTGCAGAGATGTGAAATAAAGGAACACATTCCTCTCTGCCCACTGTGAGCGCCGTGATAATGAGGCAGAGTAAACAAAACCCCTCCTCCTGGATTTTGAGCTTCCTGGTGACAGCGGAAGGTGCAAGATGGATGCATAGCCCTGAGAAAGACTGGGCAAGGGGAATGGGTGTAGGAGAGCAGAGAAGATGGAGTCTTGTAAACCTCAGAGGAATCGCCATTCCTGTAACATTTCCATTAGTGTCCAAAGCTGGCTTGCCCTGAGGAAAGAACAGTGCTTTTTTAAAGTCATTTTATTTTGAACTTAGTTTATAAAGGACAATATTGTCTTCCTCTATCCCATATGAGTAAATTATATCTGGATGTAAACAGTGATAGATTAAATAAGGAGATTAATTTTGTGTGAAGGGTAAATTCTGTCTTCCCTCTGAACTTGACAGTGAAAATACTATTCTTCCTTTCCTTTATTCAGTTATCAAACATTTAAAGAATGACAATGATGCATACTCATTTTTGGTAGGGCAAGAGGTTGCTATAAACTGTTACTAACAATAGTATATATGCAGTAGCTCACTAATTATTTAAAAAATAAATCACATCAGATTCAAGGATGTTGCCTTATGGCTCTTTCAGGCAGAAATATGCCAACTACATGGGACTACGATGAAGAGTACAAGTTTTTTGTCTTTAGGCTTTTGTAGTCACTCTGAATCAAGAACTGTACCATAAAGGGATGGTGACCAAGAGGAGATACAGCTACAGGTCCACACGCCAGAGTGAAAGAGTAATTCCGATCAGGAGTACTTTGGAAATTCCTCCTGAAGGTGGACAAAGATGGACATGACTGCATGATATATGACTTTAAAAGATAGGTTACTACTTACTTATCAAATAATACATTTTAAAAACTTGTTTTGAGTTCCTAGGCACTAAGGACATGATGATAAAAGGGGTAAAAGCCATGCCCTTGAATATTTCAGGCAGGGGATAAACACACCAAAAGTGGGAGACAAAAGCAACACCACAGAACACAATACACACAGCGCTAGAACAGAAGTGCTATACAATTCTAGAGGAGACAAAGGAAGAAGCTTTTGGCACTTGCCTGAGCCAGGTGGGTAAAGTAAGGTGAAGTTATGGTGCCTGAACTGAGATTTCATTCATTTGTTCTTCATTCTTTTGATTCATCTGAGTTAGTGCCTGCTCTGTTCACAGTGTGGGGCCTCCAGGGACTGAGAGTGGAACAGACAGGTAGCAGGAAGCACAGTGGTGGATTCAATGAACTACGAGGTAGATAGTGTTACTGAAGACAGGAGCCCCATGTACATGGGAGGGTGAGGAACGTCTTCATGAAGAGGTGGGTTTTGAAAGATGTGGAGGCATTCCCTAGGTGGATTTTGATTAGGAGTATTTTAGATGAAGGGAATTCAAGACAACAGCATCAGGAGTGAAGATATGTGTGTGATGGATACACAGAACTGAAAGAATTTGTAGATGACCAGCTTTGGGCAAGAAAGGGGAGGCAAAAGATCAGGTTGGCAGAAACCAGGTTGTAGAAGGCCCATACCCCAGGCTCACAGAGTTTGAATTTACTCTGTAGATTAGTAACTTTTTAGCTGGATTCCACTATGTTTTTGAGTTCCAAGGATATACCATAGAAAGTATGGAGCACTCCAAAAGGGCAGGTTTTAGGGAACATGAATGGCAGACTATCAAGCTTTAAATATTAATATTTAGGCAATGTAAAGTCTTTGAACACCTCTAAAGGAAGCAGTGATAGACTAATAATTGTATTTTTGTATTATCAATTCATCCATGATGCCATGCCATAAATCTGCCCAAATTGCTCAATTTTTCTCTTAATTCATAACTAATAAATCCTACCATTAATTCTTTCTTTTAAATATCTCTCAAGTCCATCTTTTCCCCTCCTTCCTTCCCAGGACTTCTGGTGGATCCTATCCTTGTCATCTTACCTCTGATAAAGTACAAAAGCCTCTAACTTCTTGTTCTATACTCTACAGTTGACCCTATTCTTTTTTTTTTTTTTTTTTTTTTTTTTTTTTTTTTGAGATAGCATCTCCCTGTGCAGTCTGGGTTGGTCTTGAACTCTCTGTGGCTTCAAACTTGCTATTTGCTTGCCCCCTACCTATTCAGTGTGGTGAACACATAATAGCTGAACACATAAAACAGATGAAAATTGCTGGGCTACTGGGTGGAGGAAAAATGTCAGTTTGACCCAAGAAAGAGAAACTGTGCTTGATTGTTAGTTTAGTTTGAAAACAATGTATGCTTCTAAGAATGTTCTGAACTTTGCAACATCTGCTTGCTGGAACTGATAGGTTGCGCTTTTTTGCCCTTGCAAAAAATTTTTCACCTGCACCAACCAGGATGTGGTTTTCAAGTTTAAAAGCTCAAGCTTTCTTTGGGTCTGTGCTGCTCAGCATCTCCCTGCATGGAGAACAGACTGACAGCCTCCAGCCTGCCTAATAAAGGCTCTTAAAATTCCAGTTTGTATTCTGGTCTTGGTTCTTTATTCAGGGTAACCCATTACAATTTGGGGGCCCATCTGGGATCCCATTACTGGGATTAAATAAAGCACTAAGACTTCTTTGAGGCTATCACTTCTCAGGGGAATCTGAGAGAGACATTCCTTGCCCCAAGAAGATGTTTGGTCTCAAAGAATAAATTCTTTCATTTGGAATGAGCTGTCAGGATTCTTACCAGTAAGACACTTTCTGTTTATTGGGGCACCCCTCGGGAGTCTCTTGAGGAGTTGAACTTAACATTCAGGCCTCAGAGACATAGCCCTAGTCCACATCAGTGGCTGGTGGCATCTGGTTTTCTGGTAACTTGTCTTTTTGTGTCAGTCTTTGTTTGTGTCAGTTTAAATATGGGTCAGTCCGCTTCTGCTTCCATGTCGCCTTTGCAATGTATTCTTAATCATTTTCAGAAATTCAGGCAATGAGCTGCTGACTATGGGGATTCTGTGTCCCTTGGCAAACTCCGGACCTTCTGTGAATTGGAGTAGCCCTCTTTTCCAGGAGTTTCCTGGCCTCCGGAAGGCTCTTTTAACCTTTCTCTTGTTTACCAGGTCCGAGAAGTTATCTTCGGAAATCCAGGACACCTCGACCAGATTCCTTACATTCAGGCTTGGAATGATCTGGTCCACGACCCTCTGAAATGGCTAAAGGCCCACCGTTTTGGACGCTGTTCACAGTCAGCTGGTCAAACCCCCATGGTTGCGCTGGCTACCCCAGTTGACAAGAAGCATCCTCAGACCTGGCCCAACAAGAATATGTTTTCCCTCCGACTTGACCCGCTTGGGACCCCAACTCCAATCAAGGTAAGGAGGCTCTCGATCGGTATCACCAGCTTCTTTTAGGGTATATGAGGGCAGCAACTAGAAAGCCTACTAATTATCTAAAGTCACTGAGGTTACTCAGGGATCTGAGGAGTCTCCTGCTGCCTTTCTTGAATGCCTCTAATGCTTACCAGATCTACACTCCTATAGATCCTGAGGCTCCTGAGAACCGAAGGGCCATAAATATTGCCTTCATGTCTCAATCAGCCCCAGATATCAGAAAGATACTCCAAAGGATGGAAGGATTTGAGGGAAAAGCGTTAACAGAGTTAGTAGAAATAACACAAAAGGTATTTAACAATAGGGAAGATCTGAGAGAACTAAATAAGAGTATGGCCAAAGTCCTCAAAGCTATGGGAGAAAAAGATGGACCAACAACTAAAAAGACCCCGGCCACTCCAGACTAAACAAAAGAGATTAGCCCTTGGCAAAAATCAGTGTGCCTATTGCAAAGAGGAAGGACACTGGAAAAATGAGTGCCCAAAGCGAAAACAAAAGAAAAGAGCCAAGTTCTGACAGCTGCTCCCGAAACGGACTGAGGGAGTCAGGCCTCTTCTCTTCGCCCTCGGGAGCCCAGGGTAACTCTACAAGCAGAGGGCCAGCTGGTCAATTTTCTAATTGACATAGGGGCCACCTATTCAGTTTTACTACCTGCGGGCCCCCTGTCAGAAACAAAGACCTGCATCCAAGGGGCCACGGGGAAAACTGAATTATACCCTTGGACCAAAACTGGAATCTGGGGGCTAAACAGATGACTCATTTCTTTCTTGTCATGCCTGAATGCCCCTACCCTTCGATTGGCCGGGACTTGCCTCATAAGTTACAGGCTCAAATTTCTTTTGGGAAGGCTAAACCTGAATTTGACCCCCGGCCCCCTACAGTTCTTTTCATGTGTCCCCTGATGGAGGAACATTTATTGTTTTCTGAGGAGGAACCTCAACCCAGTTCTGATGCCCTACTTTCAGCCTGGAGGATGGAGATTCCTGGGGTCTAGCCGGAAGACAACCCCCCTGGGCTGACAATTCATCAACCCCCCATTGTGGTATCTCTAGTACCAGGGCAACTCCTATCCGTGTCCGTCAGTACCCATTAAGCTTACAGGCACGACTGGGGATCAGTGTTCACATCCAAAGACTCAAAAAGGAGGGTATACTGGTGCCTTGCAAGTCAGCATGGAACACTCCACTGCTGCTGGTTCAAAAGCCAGGAACTACAGACTACGGCCAGTATGCCTTCTTCACTCTTCCGCTAGCTCTGGTAAGCCAACCCCCTTTGGCTTTTGAATGGGTGGACCCCCAGACAGGAGAATGCCTTTGCCACCCTTCATGTACATGGGGCCATATATCAAGAAAGGGGACTCCTAACCATGGCAGGACAAAAGGTTAAAAACACTCAAGAGATTTTAGACTTATTGGCTGCAGTCTGGTTTGCCTCGACAAGTAGCAGTTATACACTGTCAAGGACACCAAAAAGATGATTCCCTTGTGGCCCAAGGATATACCCTGGCAGATTCTATGGCCCGAGAAATTGCAAGAAAACCAGTGGGGCCACTAGAAATCCTGCCGGTTCTGCCACCCTGGATTCTAGACAAACCATCTTATTCAGATTCAGACCTCATGCTGGCACAAAATCTTTGGGCCTCCCCCAACTTCTTCCAGTTAACAAAAATTGTCAGACTCCCGGATCCTCCTCCCTGAGGTCCTTGGACATTTACTTCATCACAGTAAACCAACTGGCCAAGGACATAAGTCACAAGTGCCCACAGTGTGCTCAGGTAAATCCAAAAAGAAATCTACCAGAGATCCACATCGAGCCAGAGGTACGTCACCTGGGGAACACCGGGAAATAAATTTCACAGAGATGAAATCTGGACCAAATGGACTCAGGTATCTGCTAGTGCTGGTGGACATTTTCACAGGATGGCCACATGCCTTCACCACGTGGTCTGAATCTGCCCTGATAGTTGATAAAAACTCCTATCTGAGATAGTCCCATGATTTGGTCTTCCCTTAACTCTGGGGTTGGATAACAGTCCAGCTTTTATAGCCCAGATTACAAAACTTGTTTCACAGGCTTTACACATTAATTGGAAGTTACACTGTGCCTATCGGCCACAAAGTTCTGGCCAGGTAGAAAGGATGAACTGAACTTTAAAGGGGGCTGTTGCTAAGATAGAGTTAGAAACTGGTGAAAACTGGGTGAGCCTCCTTCCTTTTGCCCTCTTGAGGGCCCACTGTACTCCCTATGTTCAAGGGATCACACCCTTCGAGGCAATGTATGGTCGAGCCCCACCTCTTCTCCAGAAGGTCGGGGAAGAAATTCTCATGTCAATCTCTAACCAAGAGCTTGTTAAGTCCTTACAGGCACTTCAGTCTTCACTGCAGGCAACTCATTCTCTCTTCCGACACCTGCAACCACAACCAGAAGAACAGAACAGTGTAAGCCGATTGAGGAAGCACCTACAGGATAGAGACGATCAAAGAAGATCCCAGTCTAATTGGTATGAGGGATTGTTCTCTATGATCCCATGGTTGACCACCCTACTGACTGCCTTGGCTGAGCCCCTGATACCTTTATTGTTAACCCTATGTACAGGACCAAGTACAAACTGTCAAACTAATGGTAAATGTGTTAGCTGAGATGGAGGAAGAAACTGAAGAAATTATTTGATTCCCCAGAAAACCAGTGGGGAAATGTGGTGAACACATAACTGGTGAACACATAAAATGGATGAAAAATTACTGGGCTATTGGGTGGAGGAAAAAATGTCAGTTTGACCCAAGAAAGAGAAACTGTGCTTCATTGTTAGTTTAGTTTGAAAACAATGTATGCTTCTAAGAATGTTCTGAACTTTGCAACACCTGCTTGCTGGAACTGATAGGTTGCGCTTTTTTGCCCTTGCAAAAAATATTTTCACCTGCGCCCACCAGGATGTGGTTTTCAAGTTTAAAAGCTCAAGCTTTCTTTGGGTCTGTGCTGCTCAGCATCTCCCTGCATGGAGAACAGACTGACAGCCGCAGGCCCGGCTAATAAAGGCTCTTAAAATTCCACTTTGGATTCTGGTCTCGGTTCTTTATTCAGGGTAACCCATTACATTCAGCACATTCTTTTGGAAGCATCTTAAACTTAACATGGTTAAAACAGAATTTTGTCTCCTATCCAGTCCCCAAACTTCACCCCAACTTACTTCTCAAAAAGTCTTTTACATTTCAGACTATGGCACCCTTGTAAAAATCCTCTAGTTGCAGGGGCCAAAATCTAAGTCCTTGATTCCTCCTTTTTCCATTCCCCTCACATCTTGCATAGAATGATTACCAATTCCTCTTGGAGCCAACTTTAAAATGTTTATGTCAGATCTTAATGTCTCTCGCTATTTTCACTGTTCCCATCCTATGGTTAAGCTACTACCAGCACTCATGTGTCTACTAAAATAGTCTTCAAAGTAGTTTTTGTTTCCTTCCAGCCTTATACTTTTTGCCATACAGCTGTCTAGAAAGACTGTTTATTTAAATTTATGACTCAGATCACATTATCCTGCTAAGAATTCTCTGAAAGGATTTGATTACTTTTTTAAAAATGCAAAGTTTTAAATGTAGCCAAGTATGATCTGACTATTGGCACTCTAATTGCAAACTTCTGGCTGAGCTGTTCTTATCCCAAATATTTTGGTGGCTCTTTCCTTCATATAATTCTTCTTTCACACAATTCACAAATGATATATTTCCAGAGACTTTCTCTGATCATCTATATGAAATGCCTGTCCAACCCTCCCTTTCACATATCTGCATTTATCAATTCTGACTCATTTTTCCTTATAGCACTCCTCATTAACATTATATACCGTATATACTTATCTGCCTGTTAATTGTCTGGCTCTTGCACTACAGTGTAACAAACATTTTTTCTTTTATTTAACTTGAGTCAGGCTCCTCTGAGTGCACCTAGGTTAGTTTTTGGACATGTCCTCAAAGGCCCAGTTTCAGCAAGAATTCTGCTCAGTTCAGCCAGAATTCTCTGCCCTTGTTATCTAACCAAATTCTTCATGCACCCACATCCATCCTCCAGCTAGTGTTTGATTACTGCGGTCTGCCTTCAGCAAGACTTGTTAATTCAGTTTAGCAGGCAATTTCCCTACCCTCTCAGTAATTTTCTATCCATCAACATAACTCACCCACCTCTTTGCTTATAAATTTCTACTTTTCTTTGCTGTATTTGGAACTGAGTCCAATCTCTCCCCCACCCCCCTCTTTCTCTCTGGAAAAGCCCTTTGCTGAGGTCCCCATACCTGTTACAATTGTCTTGAGCAAAGTCTGTCTTATTGTATTTAGTAAGTGCTGTGAATAATTTCTCTTTAACAAATGCTGACATTACGAGTGGCAGACAAGACAGACTGCAATCTGTCTAGTTCTATACTATAGCTCCAGTACCTAGAGTAGTATCACACACTTAGTAGTCATGCAGTGAATGTATTTTTGTTCAGTGAATGAATGTATTTAGAACAAAACAACAATATACTCACAGAATCTGGGACTCTTTAGTAGGTGAAATAACTACTTTCATAGCACTTTAAAAACACTATTTTTTTAAAATTAATATGAAGTTTATCAATAAATACTTTAAGAATTATTAACACAACTTAATTTCATAGAAATAGAATTTCAGTTAAGAGCCCCCAAAGGCCACCTGGTCTAAGGCCACATTGCAATCAAGGAACAAAAATGAATTCTTCGGCTCTTTTCTAAAGTCTTTATTCTTGGAGGGAGAATTATTTTGTTATTTCTAGAGCATTTGGATCTTTTGAAATTACCTAATTTATCTTCTGTGCATCAATTAATCATGTCAAAGCTTTGCAGTTAATGTTAACAGGATTAAGCCAACTGCCAAAGCATTAACACCCACTTGATGTCATTAGAAGTGTGTTATGAAAGAATTCAAATAATACATACACTGTTAGTTTTATTACGCGTTGTTAGGGTTGTTTTAATTACAAAGGACAGACAGAACTGATTATCACAGCAGAGCTAATCAGTTCAAGGTGACATTGGTATCTCCTTACTCAAACTTTACCAGTGCAGAAGTACTTAGCATAGATAGTTATGGAATCCATGCCAGGAGGGAAATAATTGATTTAACTGATCTAAAAGTGTGTTTGAGCTTTCTTTTCAGACAAGCCGTCAACACACACATGAAAGCAAAATTCTAAAAAAGCTGTCAGTTGAACAGTGTTTGTACAGCAAAGCAAACAACTTTTGTGATTGCAATTAATGCCTCTTCTCATGAAGGAAGTCTGATTCAAAATGTTCTATTTTTTTCTCTGCTACACTAAAAATTATAATGTTGACTCATATTGAAGCAATTTAGAAATGTACTCAGCCACAAAATGAAAATGGATTATGTTAAGTATGACATTTGTTACTAGGGTACCTGCTAAAAATAACATCTAGAAGTTATATTTTACATTTCCTTCAAGCGATTTTAGGGATTGTCAAATGAACTACTGATCTGTTTAAAGGAGGTTGGGTCAGACAATATTTTTCTCCAACCTTAAAAGCCAATGATACAAAATGTCAAGAGGTTCAAGAGCCTATTGAGGCTGGAAGATTGTGAGCTTGACGATAGCTTGGGTTATATAGTGAGACCTTGTCCCAGAAAACCAACAAAATGTAAATAAATAAGTAAATAAATATCAAGATTATAGGGAAAATACTGTGCCAAGACCCAGCAGTCTGTAGGAACACACTGGATTGTCTTTATAATAATTCCTCTATCTTTCCTTTAATAGGAGTAAGATTTGGGAGTGAAATGCATTAACAACTGAAAAGTACTTTTAATATAATCTAGTCTGATACCAATGAGATATGACACGACATTTTAAGAACGTAAGTCGCTACACTGGAACATGAACTCAGTGTTTTTAAATTCTGAACACTGTGCTTTCTCTACTAACTCATGATCACAAATAATTATTGAGATAAAGTCAATGTGGCTTGGAATATTCAATAGGTAAAATAACCCAACTGCCAACAAATAAATGACATATTTTAAAGAGAGGAGGGGAAATCATGATAGACTGAAACACAAGAGACACCAAAAAAATGTTAAGTGTGACTTTTTCGATCCTGATTAGAATAAACTGAATGTAAAATTCCATTCTTAAAATAATCAAGGGAAGGATCGGGGATATATACCTAAGCAGTATAGTGCCTGCCTGGCAAAGGTAAGGTCCTGAATTTGATTTCTAGTACCAGGAAAAATAAATCAAGGGAAATGGAAATTAGGAGGCTATCCCATCATAGGAATTCATGTTAGATTTGTTAGATATATATTAGTAGTATGATTCTGTTATAAAGAAGTCCCTACTTATTAGAGCTTTCTCTTTTAAAAATTACAAATATAAAGAGACAATCAATGAATATACAGGCAGAAAAATATAGACAGGATGGAGGTATGTTGGATAGTTAATTTATGAAAATATTATTTTTCTAGATTTGGGGATATTTGTGTTATTTGTCAGTTTCTTTTTAAATCCTCAATTGGTTGATTTTTATTTCAAATAAATACTTTTCTGCCCAATTGTGTAGATATATTTTGTTCTTTAAAGAGACCCACCCTCACAGTGTATAAATGTCAGGCATCACCAACCTGAATCCATCTGGATGCCTATATATTGTTAGGCAATTGTCCTGGAAGTCAAACATATAGCAGTGAGCAATGTGGAGAAAAACTCCCTCTTTTGTGAACTTTATGTTTCAGTTAGAAGAGACAGACAAAAATGAACATAAAATAGGAAATAATAATAGAAGATTAGTGCCCTGGAAAACAGTTGGGGAGGGTGAGGGACAGTGTGTGTGTTTGGGGAATGCAAAGCAGGGTTGTAGGCCAGCCTGCAGTTTTCAACAGGATGGTCATGGTAGGCTTCCCAGAGGTGACTTTGAAGGAGTAATTTACCAGTATAACACCAGGGCAGTCCAGTATAGTGTGTCAGTTTAGCGGTACTCCATTCATCTCCCATTCAGGTCTTGCTTCAGAACATTTGAAGGAAAAAAAAATACCAACAGTTCAACAGTAGGAGGTAAAGCACTGAACAGCTCCCTGCGGCAATGAAAAGCTGAGCACTACTACCCATAGTCTGCTTCGCTTCTCCTCATCCATGTAGCATTCAATCTGAGCTCTAAATAAAAGTTCAGAAAAATGACAAAAAATATAAATGTAAAAGATATATTATTTGCTTGTCCTGAAAATGCAAATGTGAGAATGGGACTGCGATTGTGACCATTTTAAGTATGCTTAGAGCACTGTGCGCTCTTTTGTCCAGACAGATGTGGCAGAATGGAAAGAAAGAACAAGTCAGAACTGCAAACAAGCTAGGGATATAGCTCAGTGGCACCGCGCCTGCTTGGCAAGCACAAGGTCTTGAATTTGATTCCTGATACAAAACAAACAAACAAACAAACAAACAAAATCAGAACTGCAAGTGAGCTTGGTTCTGCCACTTGGCTTTCAAGCCTTGGGTGAATCATAAAGAGAAAAACTGAATTTTATCACTTATAAAATGGGGACAAGAAGATGTTTATACAATTAAATGGATAATTGTGTTATCAACAAAGTATCATACAAATTGGGCAATAAAGGGGCTGGGGATTTAGCTCAGCGGCAAAAGCGCCTGGATGGCAAGCGCAACGTCGTGAGTTCGATTCCCGGTACCGGAGAAAAACCAAAAAAAAAAAA